TGCTTCTACTAACCGGACGATTAGAGGCACTAGGTCCAATTCGCAAGGTCCCAATGACGACGCAATGGCGGTGTTGTTCCGGTCACTTATAGTGACCTCTGCTCTTTTCTATCTTGGCGCCTCGCCCGGTGGTGTGGCGGCTGGACGGCCGCGAAGGGATGATGGCACCGGGACTGTCCACACTCTATGGGCAGACACTCCATCGGTGAAGTTCCTTACCCTTGCTCAAATGCGCCAACCACCAAGTGTATCACCTTGTGCACATGTGTTAGCATGTTTTCACAAATATTTTCAAGGGTGTTAGCACTCCACTAGATCCTAAATGCATATGCAATGAGTTAGAGCATCTAGTGGCACTTTGATAACCGCATTTTGATACGAGTTTCACCCCTCTTAATAGTACGGCTATCAATCGTAAATGTGATCACACTCACTAAGTGTCTTGATCACCAAAACAAAATGGCTCCTATCATTTATACCTTTGCCTTGAGCCTTTTGTTTTTCTCTTTCTTCTTTTCAAGTCCAAGCACTTGATCATCATCATGGTATGATCTTCATTGGCTTCACCACTTGGAGTGTGCTACCTATATCATGATCACTTGATAAACTAGGTTAACACTTAGGTTTCATCAATTCACCAAAACCAAACTAGAGCTTTCAGTTGGCCGATGCTGACTCGCACCATCTATGATGAGTGGGCGGTGACCATGAAGGTCAAGCTCAGAGCCCAATGGCTCTGGAATGCCATTGACAAAGGCACCGACAATGAAGAAGACAACATGTCTGCGTTGGAGGCTATCCTTGTTCTTTGAAGGGCTTTGGCTAAGCTCACCAAGTGGTTGCTATGTTAATGCAAATGGCCAAGAGTACTGAGGGAGCCGCCGTTGGGGGTGAAGAACTCTGCTAAGGAAGCGTGGGAGACCATTACAGCGATACGCGTCAATCACACGGTGACGCCCGAGCGCAAAAGACCTCTCGGCGTTTGGTCACTAACGACCAGTGACCAAATTGCAAGCAAGCGAGTACGCCACCCTCAAGTTCAACGATAGCGAGTCAATGGATGACTTCTCCCTCCGCCTGCAGTTGCTCATTAGCAAGCTGAGGAGCCACAGCGTCACCATCGACGAAGAAGAGGCGGTCTCCAAGTACCTCTACTCCATGCCGGTGAAGTACATCTAGATCGCTCTCTCCATAGAGATGATGCTGGACTTGTTCACCCTCACCATTGAGGATGTGACAGGCCGTCTACGGGTGATGGACGAGCGCATGGAGCAGGCCATAGCAACGATGGATAGCGGCAAGCTGCTGCTGACAGAGGAGGAGTGGGCTGCCCGAAAGAAGTCCGAGGAAGCCTCCTCTAGCCACGGTGGCGATGGCAAGCACCGCGGCAAGGCTTCTTTGGAGAAGAAGAAGAAGGTCAACCCCAATGCCTGCTGGCACTGTGGGAAGATGGGTCATTGGCCAAAGGAGTTCCCAAATAGCAAGCAGGAGAAGAAGGCTGGGGCTCATTTAGCGCAGGCTGATGAGGAAGATGAGGCCACTCTCCTAATGGTGATGACACATGGAGACGAGCTATGTGACAGCTGCCTAGCCGGGAAGCAGAGGAGGCTGCCATTCCCAAAGGCAACCAAGTATCACACGGTGAATGCTCTCAAGCTCGTCCACAGCGATCTCTATGGGCCAATCATGCTTGCCATAAACGGTGGTCGGCGGTACTTCCTCTTGCTCATAGATGATTGCAGTTGCTATGTGGCTACAACTCTTGACGAGTAAGGATGAGGTGGTGGAGGCGATCAAGAAGTTCAAGGCGCGTGTAGAGATGGAGAGCGACAAGAATCTGCACATGCTATGGACTGATCGTGGTGGCGAATTCACTTCGGTGGAGGTCGCTGCGTACTGCACAGATCTGGGTGTGGTGCGACACCACACCGCACCGTACTCACCACGGTAGAATGGCGTGGTGGAGCGACGGAACCAGATGGTGGTCGGCATGGCTTGATCCATGATGAAGGCCAAGAGCATGCTAGCAAGATTCTGGGGTGAGACGGTGACCACGGCGGTATTCATCCTCAACCACGCCCCACCAAGGCCCTGAAGGGCAAGATGCCGTTGAAGCTTGGTATGGGCTCAAGCCGAGCATGTCCTTCCTCGAACATTCGGCTGCATCAGCCATGTCAGAAAGATGAAGCCGGTCCTCACCAAGCTAGAGGACAGGAGCACACCGATGGTGCTCCTGGGCTATGAGGAAGGTACCAAGGCGTACCGGCTCTATGACCCACATGGAGGCAAGGTGGTTGTCTCGCGTGATGTCATGATCGATGAGAAGGCAGCCTAGGACTAGGATAGTCCGAGCACGGGGGACGCTGGTGGCTTCACTAGCACCTTCATCGTTGAGCACTTGGTCATCCACAGTGGTGGAGATCGCTGGAGAGGAGGTGCCAACCACTCCAGCAACAGAGCTGAGCACTCCTAGGGTAGTGCCGAGCACTCCGGGAGGGTGCCGAGTACTCTAGGAGTGGTGCTGAGCGGTCTTGCAGTGGTGCCGATCACTCCAGGACGGGTGCTGAACGCCGGTAGCAGAGCCGAGAGGTCTTGTAGTGGTGCCGACCACTCCAAGACTGGTGCCGAGCACTCCTATAGTGGTGCCAACCACTCCAGGAGTGGTGACAAGTGGTCCAGGAGTAGTGCCGAGCACTACAACCAGGGTGTTGAGCACTTCAGGTGCTGTGCCGACCACTCCGACGGAACAGGGGACTCCATCGATGCCGATCGAGTTTACCTCATCTCCAAGCGACATCACAGAGTTCGTGGATGTCTTCCACGACGGTGAGGAGGTGCGGTTTCACAGGCTAGACAACATCGTCGGTGGCACAGGGTCCTCACGCCTGGTGGGTTGGCTGCTCAATGACCCAGAGCTACTTCTCATCAGTGCAGAGGAACCACCCACGTTCATGCTGGCCGAGCGCGATGCAAATTGGCGATGGGTGATGTTGGAGGAGATGAAGGCGATCGAAGAAAACGAGACTTGTGAGCTCGTCGATCTAGCTCCAGGATGCCGTTCGATTGGCCTAAAGTGGGTGTACAAGGTCAAGCGGGACGAGCGTGACGCCATTGTTAAGCACAAGGCCTGCCTCATCGCTCGAGGCTTTGTCTAGCGTGAGGGCATCGACTTCGAGGAAGTCTTTGCACCGGTAGCGTGCATGGAGTCTATCCGACTGCTGCTGGCTTTGGCAGCAGCGAAGGACTGGTGCGTCCATCACCTGGACATAAAATCGGCCTTCCTCAACGGTGAGCTGGCAGAGATGGTCTTCGTCAGGCAACCTCCGGGTTTCACCGTCAAGGGAGCGGAGCACGGGGTGCTTTGACTGCTCAAGGCGCTCTACGGGCTACAGCAGGCCCCGCGAGCATGGAACGCCAAGTTTGACGCCATGCTGGGCGAGCTTGGGTTCACGCAGTGCGCAACCGAGCATGCGCTCTACATGCGGCGATGGGGAAAGGAGGAGCTCGTTGTCGGCGTGTATGTGGACGACTTGATCATCACCGGTGCACGTGCGGAGGACATCGACAGCTTCAAACGCGAGATGGCGGCTCGTTTTCGAATGAGCGATCTCGGCGCGCTCTCCTACTACCTCGGCATCGAGGTGAGACAGGGGAAGGAGGCGCTCACGCTCGGTCAGAGCGCGTACGCCATGGCAGAGCACCTCTAGCGTGCTCATCTTCCTCGGGTTGGCTCCAATCTCATGGCTGTCACTGAAACAGAAGGTGGTGGCGCTGTCCACGTGCGAGGCAGAGTACGTGGCGGCAGCCACAGCGATGTGCCAAGCTGTGTGGCTACGCCGGCTGCTGGGGGAGCTGACCGGTGTGGAAGCTCACCCACCAGCACTGATGATGGACAACTAGCCCGACATCGCCCTCACGAAGAATCCGGTTCTCCACGATCGGAGCAAGCACATCGACATCAAGTTTGACTTCCTCGGGGACTGTGTCGATGGTGGGTAGATCGTCATCGAGTTCGTCGAAACTGGTCGGCAACTTCGTGGACGTCCTCACCAAGCCGCTCGGCCGTCTTTGATTCACGAAGCTGAAGAAGATGATCGACATGGTGTAGGTTCTAGAGTTAGTAGCAGGATTATGTGAAGAATTGTAAAGTAATCTGCTGCTCTCTCGAAACGCGCCGCAGGGGCAGGAGCCGAAAGGGCTCCCTACTACTGTATTGTAGCCGCGGCAGGGGCAGGCGCCGAAAGGCTTCCTTGCCGCACTGTAGCCACAGTAGGGGCAAGCGCCAAAATCAACCTTGCTATCACATCTAGTCACTGCAGTAGCATGACAGTCTGGCATTTCTGTATACTAGGATTAGATGGGTAGAGTTGTATATATAGCTTCTCATTGCAACTCAGTAAAGAGAGCGAGTTCAGTTTTGCCATCTCTCTGCAGAGCTCCGGCCAACGCTGATGCTTGTACTGTGTGTGTGCGCTCTTCTCCCTCCTTGTTGTACTTCTAGTCATAGTGTGTGGTTGGCAACGCCGTTGAGCGGTCGGCTCACTCGCGCCAGAGATCTCAGGACCAACAGCACTCTGGGCGACCATGCCGTGGCTAACTTAGCCACCTACCTAACAATGATGGTACAGGAAAATATCGCCTAGCCAATTCAACAATGAGCAAGTTCAAGTTGCAGCGAACACGAAACCTAATATGAACATGTAAGCAATCTTTACCTTCAATGTTGTAATAGACATGTTCACTGCTGATGGCTCTTTGACACTATAGCATAGAAACACAATTAAGATGATGAGGAGAATGGTGGCCAATATATTAATTGATATGACATCACCCAAAAAAAAACTCCCCACTCCCCATGCCCTATCCAGCTTGGAATTTGGCTCTTTAAGAAAGGGATTAGCTCCAAGAATTGGATAAAGTAGCTTGCTAAGCTACGAGCAATGCTTGCTGCGCCGATATTGTAATCCACAATTGCACTGCTACTACTTAGCCATGAAACATTATACTTCAAATGTCGGCCTGGACCGCAGCAGCAGTGTTTGGTCTCGATTCAAATTACTATGGGGCTGTAGGATTGACCTGGGCCATGCGTCGCGGGCGACGGTGCCAGTAACGACGAATATGCCGGCGCCGATGGACGCACCGACGCTGAGCAGGGCAAGTTCAAGGACGCCGAGCTGCTGCACGAGGCCCTCGCCGGTGGCGGTGGCGAACGTGTGGGCGCCGAAGGGCTTGCGGCGGAGCGCCGCGGCACAGAAGCTGGAGAGGAAGGGGTGGCCGGCGGTGGAGGAGGGCCTGTGGTCGTGGGCTTCCTCCATGACGTCTGGTGGCGTCGCAACTTGGGCGATCGAGGCGCAGGGCGACGTCAGGCGTAGGCCAAGGATTTTTTTTTTTTTCGTTTTTTAGGACTTCATGATGTCGTCCTTGGTCTGGAGAACCCGCTCCTTGTCCGCTTCCTTCAGCATGATACACCACTTCTGCAGCCTTGATAAAGCAACATAGATAATATCAGCAGGCGCTTTAGGCAATCTTTTTTCAATCGCCATCTTGTTCCTAGTGGTCCATAAGGCCCAGGTAAATCCTGCAAGTGTGGATGATCAACCTTGGTCATCGGATTGAGTTGAAGCTTTTGAAGACTGATTATTAGCCATTGCTTTAATAGAGGTGAAATCGTAGGTATAAATTATTTGGTGCATAATAGTTATATTATCTCGGTGGGGACGCAATCTTGGTGTACCTAGGTTAGTTTGAAGTGGTTCTTTATAATAGAGATATTACCTTCTTGAAGGCAATAGAAGAAAATGTATATTTATGAATTTTTTTATTTTAGAAAGTAGGCAAAATAGTAGGCAACATATCTTGTAATTGGGTCAATTAGCTCTAATGTGATGAGTAACGATCAACCACATACGTATTATATCTACTAATTAGATATATGGTCCCATACGTGTTTCTTCTCATGGATTGAACGTGAGGATATAATAACTTTTATTTTTAAAACACTTTTGTATATAGAAATTACAAATCTATACATTGTCATCTCCTGGCTAAAAGACTTTAAAAAATCATTCTTACGGCCAAATGCCTAGTGAAGTCCTACACTTGTAATCCAATTTTATCTTAGCAAAAGAAAAATAAGATTTTTTATAAGTTATCTCATAGATTTTTCGAATATTTTTTCCCATCCGATATGAAATGCCTAGAGGTAGCCAAAAATCTTGTTTTTTTAATAAAAATGATGCAAAAAAAATTCAAGTGGCACCACTCATTTTACAATTTTAAATTAAGATTCTCCCCGTAATTCTATATTTCAATTTATGGTTAACCTATTTGGACTCAAAATGTTTTTTTTTCCAAAAATCCAAAAAGAATCATCCAAATTCATGTTTTATGAATTTGTATTTTGTCATCTAATTATTAGCATACATGCTGAAGTTAAATTCAAATTTCTTTAACAATGGCATGTAAATGTTACAAGATCTTTTTAGACCGAGTTTCCTTTGTTTCGAACTGTATCGATGATACATTTGTTTTTTCATCGATTTTACATGACCTTAGAACACACAAATGTGCATGAATGGATAAGATGCTTCTTTACAAAATGCATTTAGGTGTAAAGGTTTTTTATAAGAATGTCCGACCACAAAAAGTCAAAGATTAAGGATGGGTCGGTAGAATATGTATGTGGTCCGGTGTTCCTACTATAAACACATGGTTGATATGTGCCCATGTGTGTCGATTGATTATGAGTGTTTGTCAGAAGATGATCAAGCCCCGATTGAGTTTTGAGACTAACCTTAGTGTGAGTGAGGTGTTTGTGCAACATATCTTCTTGGCTTGTGGTGTGTAGGTGTGTGGAGCATAGAGACAGTCAACAACTATGGAGAAGGTCAAGCAAGGTCCGTGTTGTGCCGATGGACTGGGAGCGGTGAAGGACGGATTAGAGGCTTGGACTAAGAGGGACCGAGGGCTAGAAGACTGACCGTGGGTGGCTGACACTTGGGGACATCAATAAATGAGAGTACATGTGGAGTTGACTGTGTTGACCAATTCAAGACAGCGGTTGACCAAGTCAAGCAGGGGCGTGAAGGACTCGGTGATCGGCTGGTTGAAGATGAATAGTGACACGTGTTGAGATCACGGAGGATGCATAGCGGATATGCGTCTCCAACTTGGTTTGGTGGCTTGAGCCTTAAAACCACCGGCAAATGGTTTTGCCAGGTTTGGGCCTCAAAACCTAGGGTAGTGTTTGAGGTGGCACATGGCGTCATCGAGGAGTTCGCGTCAAGACGAAACTATCTTGTGAAGGGGTCGTGGCCATAGAATGCACGGATCTCTACTTGCACTATTTTGCCCCTGGGGTTAAGTGGTTGGGGTAGAATATCTGAGGACAAGTTTAGATTGTGTAATCGCTCTATAAATTAGAGGGGAGGCTGCCCAAACAAGCCCATCTCTTTTAGTGCTTTCATTTCAGTCTCCAGGTTTAGTTCTTTAGTTTCCTAGAGTCCTATACTGAGAGAGAGATCCGCAGTCGAGAGAGTCAGTACCTCTATGTGTGTAATCCTGTCTTGTGTGGCAAAGGGCCTAACCTTGTTCAAGTTGATCTTGTGGAATAAAGCAATCATTCCTCTGAATCTGAGTCCCAAGATCTTCCCCTTTGAATCGATTTGTTTTTTCTCTTCTCTAGTCCCCCTCTCTCGGGCTTTTGTTAGATTTTGTTTTCCTATGAGTTTGGGGATGATTTGAGTGGATGGATATATGCAAACATCCTTGCCAAAAAATTTGGGCGGATTCCTCATGAGCGTGGAGATCCATCCTTGGGAGGAAAAATTGAGAAAACCTTCTTTTCTTTGGAGTTTTTCCAGATCCGAATGGATTCCTTGACCTCTAGGTAGGGAACCTCGTAACCTACCCCCAAGACTATATAAGAAGGGGTAGGGAACCCTCGATCGGTACCTTCGACACCTTAGGGTTACATTGCTTATAAGGCAACTAGTCATCGGCGCACATGTAAACACCGAGCATACGAGATTAGAGATCTACTCTCAACTAGACACAGGGTATCCCGTACCTGAACTAGTAAAAATCTGTCACATGTGCTATCCTTCTGATTCAATGTGCGTGATACACTGATCTGCATTGGTAGAGTCGATACCTCAGACTCTCTCCATTCTAAATTATAAGACGTTTTACCTTTTCTAGCTACATTAATTTTACCATATATCTAGACATAACGTATATGTAAGAGCATCTCCAAGAGTCTTTCTAAAACTCTCTCTAAATCATCATTTGGAGAGTCATTTTGGAGTTGCTATAAGTGCATAGCAAAAGTTATGTATCTAGAAAAGCCAAAACGTCTTATAATTTGAAATGGAGTGAGTATATAACTATGTGTTATTACTACAGCTTCCTAGTGAAAAAAATAAGTTGAAGATGTAATCAAGTTCGGCTAAATTCATATGGATATATGTATATATTAATTCAGAAAAAAAACATCTGGATATAGGTAAGGCTCACCCTGGGCATTCGGTCAGACCGAACCGATCGGTTCGGTTCCTCGGTCATTCGGTCAGTTCGGTCATCAGAAACCTGGGACCGATCGGTCTTTGCAAAAAACGAAGACCGAGGAAGTTCGGTCTCGGTTAGTTCGGTTCGGTCTCGGTCACGACCGAACTAACCGGACCTGAGTAGCAGCCACAAACAATAGCAGAATCTATAGCAATTTTCAACAGCATGCTTGCTATTTGAAGGCAAAAAAATAACAACACAATATATAAAACAAACCACACATTATTATGACAAGTTCTAGCACACAACTTTCTCAGTTCTCACAAATCACAATCACACATAATGACATTACGAACGAAGTCTACAGAACTACGGTCAGTTCGGTCACTTCGGTTAACCGACACATATGACCGAACTTCTATTGGTTACTTCGGTTAGTTGGGAGCCGGGACCGAACTCATGACCGAACTTTTCGGTCTCGGTCTTTTCGGTTCGGTCTTCGGTCTTCGGTTAATTATGCCCAGAGTTAGGTAAGGCATATCCTTGATTTCTATATCCACCTGATCTGATCCACTAACCACCTTATCTCCTGGCTGGCATTGTCAGGCTAGCTTGATGCAGATCAACGAGTTGTTACACACTTACCACCAAGTTGGATTTAAATTTGGCAAGTGGGCACATGTTTGAGTTTGTTTGTATTTATCCACCTAATCTCCTGCCCCGAACTGTATAAAATGTACATATATTTCTATTGATGAGTTGTTCCATCATACGATCACATGCACTGACTGTCATGCTGCACACTGAGCACATGAGTCGGGCCATGTATAGAATCTCTCCTTAGTCAGTTAGTCATGTCTTTTTGTCTGGCTCCTCGTTGAGTGTCAACTGCTTGCTCTCACAGTTTATTTTCAGCTAAAACCACTTTTAGCAAGCAAAGCTATCAGTCACGTACTAATGGTGTGGTGATCCCTTTGTTGGAAAGAAGCGAGGAAGGTACGTACTGCTACTACTACACACAGCCACTTCGTGATCTTCTAGAGCTCTCGACTCCTGTATGTGTCTGATGGCCTATGTTTTCTCATAGATGTTACTCCGCTGTATCATTTTGTTTGAACATGGATTGGATCATGGGATGCATCTCCTATAGTCAACATACGTCGTCCTCATCAGAGTGTTAATTATATACTTTAATTTCTTGTAGGATATTTGTGGGTGTTCAACAAAAAAAAAAAAGAATATACAATAATGGCTGGAGGAAGAAGGCCGCTGGACATTTGGAATGAGTGGGCGACCCAGATCCTTGTGCTTCTGAGCCTGAAGCTGCAGGTTGTCCTCCTTCTCTTCTCTGGGATCCGTCGCCGTGAGGCCTCCGCCGTGCCGACGTTCCTCCTGTGGCTGGCCTACTTGCTTGCCGAGTCCACGGCCATCTATGCCCTTGGACTCATTTCTCTTAGCAGTGCGCTGAACAAGCACCAGCTGGTGGCGTTCTGGGCGCCGTTCCTGCTGCTCCACCTGGGCGGCCCCGACAGCATCACTTGGAAGCATTCGAGGTTCTTAGTGAGAAGGTGCCCAAGTGGCAGCATTTAAGGTTCTTAGTGAGATTTGTCAGGAATTCAGGGACGAGCTGGTGAATAGGCTAGTTGGATCTTTTCCCCGTGTCGATCGATCACAGCCCACTTGGATCCCAGCCAAGTGGAAATGCTTTAGTCAGAGACAGGGATGAAAGAGCTGGGAGTAGCAGTGCTGCAATGAGTGCCATATATGCAGTCATGAGGATGTTTTATTCCCGCCAAGATAACTACGTCAA